ATCCATCCATCCATCCATCCATCCATCCATCCATCCATCCATCCATCCATCCATCCATCCATCCATCCATGTCTAACAAGAGGAGTGGATGGTGGTGTCCATTATTACAGAGCATCCCAGAATAGAACCTTGTTTTATTACAAGTCCCTCTGGTCGCCGTGGCTATCCAAATTACAGGCCAGCCTTCTCACACATAAAAAAGGTTGCGCTGCCGAAAACCAGCCACCTCAATAAAGGATGGATTAGAAAATCCTTTGCCTTTTTCCCCCCTCTTCATTCCTTTTTGAAAGATTTTCAGTACATTTTTGTCCCCCTCTGGTGTTTTGTTTTATGTTGGGGTGCAGCGGTCTTCTTCGGCGGTTCTGCTCCCCGACCCTGCGGCGGGAAAATACGCTCACTTGTGGGTTTCTGGAAAGGCAGTGGTGAATGAAACATCTGCTGGGAGCAAGATATATGGAAGTGTGTGTGATTGTAGATGCATGTGTCTGTATGTGTGTATGGGCATGCAGGAACTATGGGATTCTGTTTGAGTTCCCAAACCAGTTTGAGTGATAAAAACACAGATTTCATGTTTTATATTTTGCCAATTTGCTTTTAGACTTTCCTGTTATTTGTTAACCCTGTTAATAATCCTGAAGAAAAACACTGACATTTCTGTTTTGTTTTTATATAATACCCCTAAAGCAACTATTACAAGATTTGAGANGACAGGATGTGTGTGCCAATGTGATTTCCTAAGTATGGCCTTGGCATAATGGGTGACTGTTAACATGGCGTGGAGATTATAGAGAGGTGTCTGAATGCAGAAATTTAACCACATGGACTTGCAGTGGTGTTAAAGGGCATGAGGGCCACTCAGAGCTTCTGCCATTGATCAGAGGTTCAGATTTCTTTGTTAACCTGATCTAAATAATAAAATCCTTACATCCAATCAGACAATTTATTTTAACCATTTTTCTTGATGTTCATGTTTTTTTCCTCAAAAATCACGTCTGTAAACAGTCCAGTAATCTGTCCAAATTAAATCCATCCATCCATCCATCCATCCATCCATCCATCCATCCATCCATCCATCCATCCATCCATCCATCCATCCATCCATCCA